TCTGAAATAAAATTAGAAAATTATGAAAAAGGATTTCCACAAAACGGTCGCATGTGCCAAGCTGTTGTTATAATGATGTGAATGTGACAATGCTGCATGTACTTTTAGTGCTTCTGCTAGCTTGTCATTCAAACTCTCTGTCCACTTTTATTATTTTTTGTTAAGTGTGTTAGCCTTTTCCTTTGATATTTGGTTGTGGAAACATATCTCCACCCTGCATTTTGCTATTAAAAAGAATGCTGCTCTCAATCTTTGGACACTATTCTCTGGCTGGTAATTTCTTTTTCCCTTAGCAGCTTGCTTGCTTGCTGCTGTACCCATTCAGTTTTCTATTTTATTCCATACTTTGTTGTCCCTTTTGGAATTGTCTTTGTCCTCTTGCAGATGGGTGTGTATTGTGTTAACTAAACCATTTCCTTTTGATGCTTCACTTATTTATTGTCTACAAATGTATCCCTTCCTTTTGTGATCATTTTTTTTCATTGGATAATTTGATTTATTGTATTTTTTAAAATTTTAGTTAATAAAAAAAAAAAAAAAAAAGATCAGATTTGTAATTATACACTTCAGTCAACCTAATACACACATACAACTGAGCTTAATAATAATTTTTAAGATTTTCCCAATATATTCTATATGTTAGAAATCTGTCTTCATATATTTTAGTGTGGTACAAAATCAACTGAGTATAAAGATTGTGCTGCTCTAGTCTTTTTGAGGACAGCTGTAGCTATTGAATTTATGCTTCAACTGAAAAAATGTTTTGTATATAAATAAGAAACTTTCTAGGAAAGATCTGTGAATATTCTATCACTTCTGCCTTCAACGAATTAAGAGGAAGTGCGTAGATATTTCTACTAAATATGGACATTTTAGACCAGGGGTCGCCAAAATAGTTGGTATTGACTCAATTGTACTTAAAAAATTCTAATATTTTTTTATTATGTAGTTTATAAGAGTGTAGTAAGAGACAAAAAAGAGGTTTAGTTATTATGGAAACACAAGAAAATACATTCATTTGATATGTGTCTGAAAGTGAAGCATTCTTTGTGGAAGAGGGAAGAAAGTGGGAAGGTAGACAAGAAGGATATTTTTTTCTACAAGGAAGTAGTCTTTATGTATAGCATTTTTTTAGCAAACAGCATATAGATTCATTCCAGTATAAGTGAATTTTATGCAAGTTTTGTGTTTTTATTTTCTATTCACAATAGTGTTTGAAATTTGTACTTGTACTTTTTGTTTACTCCTGAAACAGTGCCTATTACATGGAAAAACTTTCCAGTAATGATGCCATGAAACCTGTAAATATAAAAGGCTACCTCAAAGGATTTACTACATTGTTGCTGAGATTTTATTATTTATATTTATCGAGTTAAAAATGATGAGACAATTTTTTTAGGGTTATTTAAAGAAACAAAATATTCCTCTATTTCATGATTTCTATAAGACTGGAAATATTTTTCCCTTGTTTCCTAATATTTCAAGGGTGATATTCAATGGGGAGAGGATACACAACAGCTTCACACAATTTGGTATGAAGTTTCTATTACTAATGCAGATGAAAATTATTGTTCATCTTCCTAATTATTATTTATTTATTATACATGACTGGGGATTGATAAGAGATCAAGGTTGCAATGAAGGGGTTGGTAAATAAAAGGTTTGGCGACTCCTGTTTTAAGCAAGGGAGAATAATGCTCACTTAGGGTAATAAAATCCATAAAATGAAGATCTTATCCTAATAATGTAACAAGGTAATTCTTTTTATAAGATATTTTTAAGCTGTCTTTTTAAAAAGGAACCACATATGTGCTTAATGTGAGATGATGATTTTTGTTGTTTTTTTTTTCCTATATCGCCACCTAATGTGGGTTTGTATACATATGAACAAGAACATTAAATTCCATTTTATAGCTGTGTATTAAAGTATAAACTTTGGAGACTGGCATTTTAGTCTTGGCTTCAGTTTTATTTTATATTTTTTATCCTTGATTTCTAAGCATTAACGGTTAAGTCACAGACTAATTGAAAATGCTGTGCTCTCATGACACTTTGTATATTTGTTTGTCTTGATGTGGGGTTGGGGAATTTGGGGAAACAATCTCACAATAATTGTACATTTGCTTAATATAATTCTCAAATCAAAATTGTCTTTTTCAAAACATATCCAAATGCCTAGAATTTTAGTATTTGGCTGTTGAAAGTATGTGGTTCTTAATTCATTTTGATACATTTAATGCTAGAATGATTTAATAATTTTATCTCTTCTGCATTTTACATGATAGTATTTTAAAAATAAAGAATTCTTTGATTAGAGCCTAAGAAAGTCTTGCAGTTAATAGTTTAGATTTTTTTTTCATTTTGTGATGTTTCTCGTTTCTATCTGAGTTTCTGAGATAGAAATTATTATTATGCACGGATTTATTCAATCTGTTGTCCTCATCTGTCATGATGTTTCCACAATGGCTGTCTCTTGCCTTCTCCAGGTACCTATCATATTCAGTAATATTCTGAAAATTTCATTCAAACATGATGGCAAGATTGTGTTGCTTATTTAGTTAATTCTTCTGGCAGTTATCCCTGTATTGCCATTTCAACTTGTTTCACTGAACTGGTGTGTGGGAATTTCACTGCCTGATTCAGTGATTGAACTTACAGTCTCCATACAAACACTTAATGACCACATATCTATTGGTCAATCATGTAGCTGAATTTTGGAGCCTTAAACCTAATATTGTTAATTTCCTATTCTAGGCATTGATAATCTCCCCATGAGGGCTAGTATAGAATTAAGTACCTTTTGATCAGGAAAAAAAGAACAGACAAAATTCCACCATTTAATTGTTTTTGTGGATAGAAGTATTAAGTCTGCAGTTGTCTTAGTGGATACCATTCTGCCACTAGGATGAATTAATAAGTGTTATGTCCTCTTAGCATTGACAGTGGTGTGAGTAAAATCTTGCAGTGGAGTTGAAGAAAAGGTTTGATTTTAAAATTTCCAGAACATTACTGGATACAACAGGTATCTGAAGAAAGCTTAAATATTGTGATTATAACAACTAAGATATTGATCACAATTCAAGTAAATCAGTATTTCTAGTTGTTTATTTTATTTTATTTTTTTTACTGATTGTAAACTTCAAACATGAAATTTCACTTGGTTGTATATATAATTTCTTGTTGGTATTTCTAGAAATGCTGGCAATTTCTGTTTCATTATGTGAATGAGATTACAAGGTGCTATTAAACCAACCTTTCCTTTTTCTGTTAGCTGCATAGATGATAGTTATTTCCCTTTTTGTCCCTCTGATTGGTTCTTGTATTTGTCTATAGATTTCGTTATGATGTTTATTTAGAAAAGTATTTTAACTTTGTACAATTAATTTTGAATCAACAACAAATAGAAACTATATTTCATTTCATACTGAAGTGCACAAACACACCTTTCAAGAGGTAATCTTTAATTTCTTTTGACAGTTAAATATTTTAATAGAAATATTTTTATTTTAATAATTGATTTCATTAGCTTTTCTTCCACTGCCTGACTTTTTTATTGATAATTCACCAAGCACACTTACCTTTCCACAACTTTGCCTTCATCACTACCACCAGCAGTCACATTTACTACTGTAGTACAAGAATTTTGAATAATTCTTGTAATAAAAGAAACAAAAAAGAAAAACAGTAAAACTATTGCAATTTAATAAGTGATACTAATTCTACATCATTATTGTTTTAAGTATTCAATTTTTTTGTCTTTATTTGCTTTACATGTTAAATCCTTTGGCTGTATTTGCTATTTTCTTTTTGCTTCTCTTCTTTCAATGTTTATTTGCATTTAGCTTTGGTTTTTAAATAAAAAAAAATCTAAATTTATACAAAATATTAAACAGAAATATAATCTTAAATTAAAATAGATATTTTTATGACCATTCTTCTATAGTTTAGTCTTTGGCAAAGTTATATTCTCTCATTCGTAACTGAGGGAAGTAGTTGAGCCATGTACTTCTTTATTACTACACTATTTTTTTTTTTTTTATTACCAGAGGCAGAATAGATCAACCTAGATTGGTCTTTTATTCTCTGAGATTTAACAGCAAATTTCACAATTTGTAATCATAAGTGAATTTTTACAACTAAATTATTGCTCTTGATTTTATTACTGACTATTCTATCATTTCACAAGATTTAGTGATAGAGCTTTTGATGCACAGAAACCTTGTCAGTGATATTCTTAATGAATAGCATTATCAAGTTTTGATATTTGTCTTCAACCCCCTGAACTACTGCTTACACAACTTATGCTTTGTTCATTAAAGCATTGTACTAAATATTCATTTATTCCTCAATTCTATGATTTCACAAGAAATTAATTTTCCTTAAAAACAAATAGGCTAATAACATAGTTGATATTAGTTTTAGTTTAGTTCCGTAATTAATCCTAAATGTGTGTGTGTGTGTGTGTGTGTGTGTGTGTATATTAATATAAATTATTCAGTCAAATTCTGACTATATTCAAAACATGAATTTTTATTGAGATACCCACATAAATTATCAAATGTTGACTTGTGGTCTTCATTCAAATTATTGAGTTTGCTTTGTAAATTGTTTTCTCCTCTCAAAACCTACTTTTTGCCAGGTTGCTTCTATCAGAACTTTAATTGCACCTGCCTCACCTCTCTTTTCATCTTACTACAGATGAGAGAATTGTACCAGGTTTTCAGTTCTCTACATATTTGCTGCATATTTCTTTCTCTTGAGCACATTTTTTGCCATTAGCTTTAACTTGACATCTTGTTAAAATTGATATTGCACTTGTTTCAACAGATCAACTTTGCAGATGAAGAAAGAAAAAGTCAGTGTCTAAAACCAAACTAAAAAAAAAAAAAAAAAATCCATAAAATGCTAATTATATGCTTGTTTACAATTAGGATGTTCTTGCTGTATTCTACATAATGGTGCCCTCTCTCTGTTATACTTTCTCTATGGCTTGTCTGCAGGTAACCGTAAAGTAGGCAAGAAAGACAACTTGTTTGATGACAGCGATGACATTATGCCAGATGACACCCAAGTCAGGACAGACAAACCCCATGAGAGTAAGTGTATGATTTCCATGGGTCAGAGAGGCTAAAAAGAGTCTTTGATAAAAAAAAATGACTCAATTCTTCCAGGCTTTTAAATGTTAAAATTAATAAAAATTAATATTTTGAAAAATAGTCTTCAGATAGTTAAAAAGATTTTATAGCTAATTTTTAGCGTGGAAAAGACTTGATCTAAAATGTTTTCAAGCATTTATTTTCATATTTCATGTAAAAAGTCTTCAAAGGATTAAAATTCAGTATAATTAAGTGTTAAATTGGAAAAAATGTGCTTTGTAATGAAGAAAGCACAGAAATATTTGTTTCTTAACATTGTGTGAAATAACAAAATATATTTGAATTTTATAAACTGTTATTTCAAAGTGTTTTATTTTCATTTTATTATCAGTGGTAATTGTTAAACATAGATTATTGCTTTCTTCTTTTTTTTTTTAAATTTAGATACTGCAAATGGATTAACAGCATTGTTATATAAGAAAGTATTGATTTCTTAAAATTGATTCTTTTAAATCAATATTCACATAAAACAAATTTTGACATTTGAAAATTTTACATTTCTTTTTTCTCATCCTTTGAAGAAGAGGAAAAAGTTAACTTCCACATTTAAATTGAATAAGTTCATATTTGAGTGTGTCTTGAAATTTGCTTAGAGAACAACTTAAAAAATGAAATGTGATCATCTAACAATTTAAGTGGAATCCAATTTCAATCTAAGGAATACTTAAACCCTTTTTCTTGAAATCTGTCTGAAAAAAAGCACTTTATGTGATGGAAATTAAAATGTTACTTTGACTGGTGACTAAAATACAAAAAATCATCCGTTTTGAATTCTCATGTCAAATAAAAAATGAAACTATTGATATGTAAGGATGTTGTTCCATTTGCAATCTGTTGTCCTACCAGCTTTTGAACATCCATTGTTGTGCTGCTGTTGCTACTTGTAATTTTCTTTTTCTTGCAGCTGACTATTTTGGTCTTTCACTGGCAGTGTCTCTTGCTGCCTCTTGCTCTGTCTTTCATGTTCACCTGCCATTTTCCTATTGCTTTAAAATCTGCTGCACTTGGCTGATGCTCTCTTGATGTTGACATCCTTGCAACTGCATGAACCAAAGTTAGTGGGATGGTGGTTAGTGAAGTGGAGATGAATTGAAAAAAAATTCTTATCTTCATTAAAGGGAAGTTCATCACTTAAGTATTTGACTAATAATGCCATCAACTTGAGCCTGGATTTTTCCTTCCACCTTTAGAAATATTTTGATTGTGATCCTATCTTATTATTATTACTACTACTACCACCACCACTTGTTGGGGGAGGGGGCAGACACTACAAAATATAGATGTATGTGTGTTTCTAATAAATCTACTTGGTCATTTAATTTTAATGACCATCCAGAAGATTGAAATTGTCCATTCCTTACAACAAGTCTCCTTTATCTGAAGGATTAGAAGTCATGGTTATATGATATGGTTTAATTTGTTTTTTATTTGATTTTAACAGTTTAAGGCATTTGCTTTGTTAGCTTAGAAGAATGTGATAAATCTCAATATCTGAGATAACTTAAATAAATTATAATTGTTACTTTTATTTATTTACAATGTAAAATATCATACAATTTACACAGTAAAATTTTAGATACTGTGCATATACTGTTGATATTACTAAACAGGGAATTGCTGAAATCTGCATTAATAATTTTTTTAAATTGTTGGAAATAAAACCAAAATATTATGAGAGTTGAAACTTGGAGAATTTGTTTTTATTTTTAGCTTATTGGCACCTTCTCTCTCACACTTCCCACTAGCTTGCAGCATCTTTGCTGAAGGATTTATACCACCATGAGTATTTTCCTTTCCATTTCCTTTCATAAACTGCACCCACAGTAAATTGGAATTGCTTTTCATGCAGTCATATTTGATGACTTATAAAATGTAGTCTTGTTGATTAGGAATTGAGGTAATGGAATATGCTGTCACTCCCATGAGTGACTACACTGTAGGTAGTAACTACCTATAAGTATAAGTATTTATGTGAGAACTACCGACCTTCCAATAGTAGCACTCACCACTGGATTGACTTGTGACGACCTTGTGCATAACTGTTACCTTTATTCTTATTGTACTGGTTTTTACAATAAACCTTTACTTATTTTATCCACTGTGTTTTTCAAGTATATATTCCTATTAGCATGGAATATAACAGAAATTAATGCCTTCAAACCATCCATGTTTTGTAGTTTTACTTTTTAGAAATTATGGTAGGTTTTTGTTTAAAAAGGTCTTAATTACACTTTTTAAGAGAAAACAAAAGATTGGCAGTCAGTCAGAACTTAAATAAAATTTGTTGGTTAACTGTGGATATATTTGAGTTATAATATTTTGAAATATTTGTCTTTTTGAAAAACTGAACAAAGAAACATTTTATTTAGTTAAAAACATTTTTGATTTTCATTAAAAAAAACATGAAAAAACGCTTAATTGTTGCAGACATCATGAAATTAGTAGGATGTAATGAGGTAATGGGAATCTATTAATGCATTTCAAACTAAATATTAAATAGTTTCTCCCTTTTAACATATACATACACACAACATGGTATTTAAATTTTGATGCTTAATTTATTTTTATTTTTTTCTGTAATTGTTCTAATCTTAAAAATGCGTTTGTAAGTGTCGTATTTTTGTTTGCACAAGAAAATTTCTTAGCCTCTGTTGAATATATTGAAAGAGTTTCCAAAACACAAACTGAAATTGATTTATAATTGATTTGGGCTTGGTCATAATTTAATAAGGGATTAGTATTCTTTTTAAGAATTGTGTATTTTGATCATTTCTTGGATGTGGCGGGAGGACAAAATATAATTTGGGTAATGTTAATGTTCCCAGTCTCTTTCAAATACAAACTTTCATGTTATGAATTGTTTACTCAGTTGATCAGTAGAATAAGATTCCAAACCTTTGGAAACAATCTTAAGCATTATTTGGTTTGGCTTCAGTCATAGAGTAATGAGTGAGCATGATTAGCACTAATGTTTAGGTCAGCAAATATTGCTTAAATTTGCAAATTGGATGAAACAATTCAAATATTGACATGCCCTACTTTCAAAGTTTGCATTACCTTTAGAAGATTCAGAAAGAATTCTTTAATTGAAGTGGAGTTGGATTGAATGAATAATGACTTTTTTTTTCTGTGCTGATATTTTCTTTGAATGTTTAAGTAACAAATGGATGATACTTGTATATATACTTTTCTTTCTTGTACCAAAGATTTACACTCATTAGTACTTAATCCTGCTGAATGAATGTTACATAAATTTGTAGACATCATATTAATATTTCTTGTTTCAACTTAAATACTAGATTGGATCCTGTATAGCAAGCATTTGTCTTAATATTGGCACTATATGACTGGCTTATTAGACAGTAGCAGTCTTTGCCTGCTTGCTATCACTTTGCAAAGTAAAATATATTCACTACTTGAAATCTTTGAAACAAAAATTTTAAATGAACATTTCATTCATAAATTGGCTTGTTATAGTTAAGGAATGTTTTACAAATAGATGCCAACTTGTTGAAGGCCAAGTAAAATGCAAATTTCAAATATTTTTCTGCACTATATAAGACAATATTCCTGAACAGAACTATTTTTGATATGAAAGTTAAAACAATCCTCCAATAAAAGAACAGTAATGAAGAACAGTTAATTAATGAAATAAACTTTTTAAAATCAATCCCTGTGCTGGTAGTATCACAGCTATGACTAGCTTGGTCTGGCTCTGACCAGCTATGATCAGCTTGCCCTATGACCAGCTAAGACCAGCAGCCTGAGTGAAGACACTCTAGTCCCCTCAACCAAACTTGTGTCACAACCTGACTCAGTGGGGTTAAGTAAATACAGTGTAAATTGCTCTCATGAGTGGTTTGTAACATATCTATTGACCAATTTTGCACTGTCTCGGTCGGTTCAACAGGTTTGTCTGCTGTCGCCCTTACTTTACGATTTGGCATTGGAGCCCTTCCTTTGCTGGCTGAGGGACAGGGTGTGCAGTCCGGCCCTATGCAGAATCGTTGTTCCACCTTAGTGGAGTTCAAACCAGGGTTTCTGCATACGCTGATGATGTATCCATTTTCATGTTGTGCCGCAATAACATTAAAGTGGTACAGAAGGCACTTGAACAGTACAATAAGGTGACAGGGGCCAAATTTAACCATAACAAGTCTTCTGGCTTACCGTTTAGTTGGACTGATGGACCTGGTTGGGCTGTGGTGTGTGCCACTTACATCTTGCCCTTTATCCTTTACCGCTTGGCTGTACTTCCTCTTTGCAGAGCCTGGTGGAAGGAGATCGAGCGTTTGTTGTCAAACCCCTTGTGGAGTGGTCGCAAACATTGAATCTGTAAAGAAGTCTGTTACCAGCACCCATGTTATGGGGGGCTGGGATTGCCCCACCTGGCGAATCATCACCACACCTCTATGTTGGCTTTCCTATACTGTGTTTTGATGGAGGGCTTGATTTTGGCGCGCAGTGTTAGAGACACCTTCCCTAGCCTTACCATCACTCCTCCCATTTCTTGGGGTAAGGACCGTCGAGGTCATGGAATTGTTGTTGAGTTTCCTCTGCGAGTGTCAATCGGCCTTGAAGATTAGTGGAGGGGGTCATGAAGGATCCTGTGTGACCAACTGAACTTGTCATCATCAGAGTTGCACTCTTTCTGGTTTTGGGTGTCAACAGCAAATTATCTCGGCAACTTAGCTGGCGATTAATTCAGAATGTGCTACCTCTCAATGATGTACTCTTCAGATAGGGCCAGGCAGATTTGCCAGTCTGTCACTGGTGTGATCTCGCATTTGCTTGCGACAATGTGTTGCCTCTGTTCTCCAGGGTAAAACGGATGATGTTTTTTACGTTGCTAGCTGTGGCAAGGGTGGTGGTGTGGATGTCGCAGAATGAAGGAATCTTGCGGGATGAATGCTATTCCCATCAGGATCTGGTTCTTTTCT